CTCTCCCTTTGTTATTTGATTTGTACTATCTTTATTCGTGATCTATCTTCTTTCTCTCTGTGTTCTCTCTGTCGCTATATATAGCTAGTTAGTTAGTTATGTAGTAGGGACACACTTTTAGGTTTACTTATTTCAATATACATACAGCGGAAGGAGAGAAAGAACCTTCACAAGTGTAGCTGGTGCAAACTACGTTAAAACTTTTCATTGGTCATAGAGAAAAAAATTAAAGTCTTATGATAATAATCAAACTTGAATCCTGTATTTTTACATCGGCAAACATAATTTTCTCAAAAAAGTGAGTCTACCCTAGCCTGGAATCCTTCCACCGTATCTGTATCGGTGTGCTCAGGCGTTATTTAAAATATCTATTAAAAGTGGATATCTGTTATGTAGCGCAATCTATCGNTTACTGCTACTGATCATGAAGGAGTAGCTACGAATCCATTAATTATGATTGATAAATCAAAACTAATTACTTCTAATTATTTATTAACTCGTTGTTTTGATAAACTACCATTAATTCCAAAACCAGTTTTAACACCAACAAGTGAATTAGATAATTACATGTCATCAGATATACACCTTCGTGAAAATGATGATATACTATTGTTTTGGAAAGAAAATACCGAATTATTTCCAATATTATCATCGATGGTACGTGATTTATTTGCAATACTAGCTTCAAACACAACAGTTGAAAGGTTATTCTTATCATCAAAAAATACTGTTACAGATCGACGAACTAGTTTAAGCGGGAAAAAAGGTAATGAACTGCTGTTTCTTCAAAAAAATCTTCTTTCTTTACAACGAATAGATAAAGATGCATCAATTAGAAACAAGGAACAATTAAAAAGAAAAATATCGACAACTAATGATGAACAAGATTTACTTATTGAAGGCAAAAACAACTCTTTATCATCTACAATGACTAAACGAATAAAAAAAATAGTGACAGTGATTATTCTTCGAATGATATTGATGATCTCACTGATAATAGTATTGAATCAGATGAAGCATTATTTGAACAATAGATTTATAATGTTAGTCAGATTTTTATATTTTAATCTGGAAGACTTTTTTTGTTGTTTTTCTAATATTTTTATATGTATAAATTAAACATTACTTTTTGAATAAATGTAGATTATATTTAACTTCAAAAATATTTATATACATATATATATATATAATATTCCTTTGGACCCGAAACTGAATCTGAATTGGAACCCGGACCCGATCGGGTCCGGCTCCGGTTCCGGGTACGTTTGCAGGGCTCTGGTTCAAGCACCTCTGATCTTATATGAATTTCTAAACACAATCAAATAGCTTGAACACTGTGAAAAAAAACGTAAAATAAAAAACGAAAAAAGGTTTTATGAAAGTGCAACGTGTAGCAAACCCTTTTCAACCGTTTATCAACGAGTCATGAGCCCTGTTATAAACCCTCTAAAAAGGGTTTAATGCAGAGTTTATTAACGTTAAATATTCTTTCTGGAAGGTTTATTGAAGGGTTGATCAGATTCATAAATCCTTAAAGGGATTGCGACATGTTGCACTTTCATAAACCCCTGAAAAGGGTTGATAATTCACATAAACGTTCTCATATAACCTTCAGCACTCAGTCTAAAAAGGGTTGATTAAAATACTATACCCATGAGCCCCTCTCAGAAACGCTATTGGAAAGCGTTTATGGATCTCATCAACTACCTCAAGGGTTTATATGAAGGTTCTTTCTCTCCTTCCGCTGTATGTATATTGAAATAAGTAAACCTAAAAGTGTGTCCCTACTACATAACTAACTAGCTATATAAAGCGACAGAGAGAACACAGAGAGAAAGAAGATAGATCATGAATAAAGATAGTACAAATCAAATAACAAAGGGAGAGAAGATAGATCATAAACATAAAGATAGTACAAACACCTGGATATCTCTCGAACAGAAGAGAGAGAGAGAGAGAGAGAGAGAAAGAGAAATAAAGATATATCATGAACATTAAGAGAGTACGAATCAAACAACAGGTGAGATGTAGGAAGAATAATAAGAGATACTGTAGATGGGGCGGCTCTACGACCTAACCGGAGAGCAGGTCGTAACAACACTCTAGTTGTTATCAAGTCTTAATCGAATATAGTCAGTGTGAATTTCGTAATCCATGAAATTTCGATTTTTTTATGTTGTTTTTGATAAAAACAGTTTGAAAATTGATTGAAACCTCATTAGTACAAGAAATTTCTTAGTTCATTTCAACCTGATTCCAGCCCTAAATTTGTATTTATGAATGTGGGCTAGTTTAAAAGTATTTTTTCTTTAACAATGATGATAGTTTTCGATTTTCTGGCTAGATTTTGATTGTTTATAAACGTGAGCAATGTCTAATGTATGACTGCACTCGAGAATACAGAAAATAACCAATTAACTGAAAAGGGTTGTTGAAAAAAAGCATTAGAAAAAATTGCCAAACAAGAAATTGACTGTTCCATAGCTAAAAAAGTATTCTATCTGGATTTTTTAAAATATAACAAGTGCAGGTGCTTCATCAAGTTGATAGTGAGATTTTTATTGGCTTTAACTATGACATTTCTATTCATAAACCTGACTCAGTTTTGGTATCATTTGAATTGTTAAATAGAATTAAACTAGAAGATGAATCTTCGTGAAAACTAGTGGGCTTTGTGCTTAATTGTGAAAGAAAGATAAAGTCTGATTTTGTTTATCTGATGTCGCAACAGGAAAGGAGTAGTTTTTTCAAATATTTAGTAATGTAGTGAAAACTGACAAAAACCAACGATTTTACTGATCCATTAACTGGCTCTATTACAGTCACTAGTCAGCAATTTTTCGAGTAAACTGCGATTGACCTCTACAATATACCTGACTTTTGTGACAGAGATAAAATTCAAAAACTATTTTAAATAGAATATTGGAAAAAGATATTCAACTGTTCTATACTAAGAAGAAACAATTCAACGTCAATTTAATTACATGCCAATGAAATTCAAAAAATATATCATTGAACAAAAGTTAGAAGTAGCTGAAATTGGACTGAAAATCTTGGAGTACGCCACTGATCGGAAAACTATGAAAATAAGCATTTGTAGAAAATTTTTATATTTTGCCGAGCCTATAAAATCCTTGGTGTGCCCTATTTGAAGTTTGCCTAAACCTAATCCCCTCAAATATATGTTAGACTCGCGTCTACCCCAGCCTTTACGTGCCCTCGTTTGAGACTACCCAGGTCTAATGGCTCCGCCACCACTAGCTTGCTGGTTATTAACTGATAAAAACACGCGTTTGTAAAATGGTCGACTCTCTTGAGTCATTCAATCAAGTCGTAAAGATAATAGCAATCGTTTTTAATGTTTTATAGTTATGATTAGATTTTTCTTTCAAAGAAATTTGAAGAAATTTCTATGCATATTCATGCACCTATACAGCTCTCATCGTGCTTTTCTGCACTTCTTGTACTTTTTCGTACTCTTCCATACTTTTGTACTTGAGAAGTACCGAAGTTCACTTGTTAGCCCTTGCCTTATGTATCAGAAATGGACTTTAGTGGAATCGCTTGTGATTTACGAGGCACCAATGCAAAAGAATTTAACACAGGTAATATTAATCATTTACGTCTTACTCAGGGTAGCCAGATCAAAAATTGAAAAATCAGAAAACAATCAGAAATTAATCAAAAAATGATAGTTTTTGACAAACTCGTACATCTTCCGCTAAAATACTGACATCCAAAGTTCTGCTGCATGTCTGTTCATTGACTGGAACTTTATTTTCAAAGATATTTCAATAAAACGAAAGACAATATAATGAATATATCGCTTAGCTAATATAAAGACATCAATAAAAGATACGTAATGTTCAACTTCGTTTTAAATTTAAAACTCGTTCACAAAAACGAGCAAAACTAAATCAAATACATTCTGCGTAGATTAAGGAGCCCAACGAGAAAAAACGTTAAATTCCATCATCTCGGTATTGTTATTCATATTTCGTATCTTTTGGAATTTGCTCTAGGAAGTTTGTTTAAGATAATATATGCTAATAAAACCTTCTCAAGAATAATTACCATTCAATTTTATTTTAAGTTAAGCATTATCTGGTTTTATATTCTCGGATTACGATAATCGGACTATAAATGCTTTACATGACCGAAAATCAATTCGACGCCAGAAATCTAACGAGGAATATAAAGATGATTAATAGAGAAAATTGATGAAACAGTATTGATTTATTATAGTAATGGGTTATAATCGTACCTAATTCAGTAACAAACCAGCGATCCCAATATGCTCCAAATTCAGAAAAAAATCAGAAACGTTCAAAATTCGGAAATTTTCCCTATTTTTTAGAAGATCTCGCCACCCTGGTCTTACTCTTTGGTTGCTTCAAAGGTGGATGTGGGTGTCAGAGATGAATGTGCCCAAATCGCACGCACACTACTCAGATTAACACTTGGGGATGAAAAAACCAATAGTCTCATCCTTTATACTGCCAAATCTGATCTACTCCATACAATAGATTTGAACTCTATGGTGAGTGATTATCGGCCTAAAGTACAAATTTTTTGTAATATGTTTTTCCTCATTTATAAAATGAAACGAAATTTCCAGCCTTGATTATACTGTCAAACAGTTGTATTACATCATAAACAACAGAGACCCTTGTGGCTTGCAATAGAAGAAATACTCGCTACCAATGCCGTCTTTACTGATTCTGCGCTTATAACGCCTATTCTGACAAGTACATAGAAAAAGAAGCAGCTATTCAAGTGCTCTTTGTAGCTTATTTTTTACGCTCGTTCGTCACCACGGAACACGAACAGAGAAACCGAGAAAAAAAATCTTGCTGCCGTGGTCGTCGTCGGCATTCATTCATTTTGCAGCACGAATAAAATAATTATTAACAGCACACCACGATCAACAGCTCTATTCTCTCTTCAGGCAAATATAGCACCCATTCTGACAAGCACATAGAAAAAGAAGGAGCGATTAAAGTGCATTTTGTAACTTGTTTTTTACGCTCGTTCGCCACCAAGCGAGACGAACAGAGAAATCGAGAAAAAAATCTTACTGTCGTAGTCGTCGGCGGCATTCATTCGTTTTGCAGCACAAAGAAAATAATTATTAACAGTACACCACGATCAACAGCTCTATTTTCTCTTCTGGCAGATTGATGCCGTTCGGTAGAGACCTTTCTGACCATGACCAGAGCCAAAATTTGTATCAGCAAATGTACGGGGACGGCGACGATGGGAATTACGGAGGCCAAGACTCACCACAAAAGAGTTCGTGGACCGAAGAGACAGTGGCAGGCGCAGCTGGTTTGGCAGGTAAGAGAGATTCATCATAACCTACTTTGTTCGAAAGAAAGGAACAATGGAGTTGAGTCCGCACAGAGCGTCTGGTTTGTTTGCCTTGCTGTTCAAATAGGTGAACGGGAACGGAAGAGGTCATTTTTCATTACTATTGTTTATCGACTATTCTGCAATCAGTAGGGTTCTGGTGTGTTGGTTAACGTATCTAGCCAATTTTATTTCAAATAATCATGAAAATATAGTTCGATTATTCCAGAAGATCTTAGCATGATTCCATCAGGTGTCACTAAACCGAAGAAAATTTGACAGATCGAATACGTCGCGGGTGTGACTTATGGGCCCAGAAAATAATCATGACTACATACCCTATTTGAAAAGTCAAGCGTGTAGCATCTGTTCTACAGTAGTCACTAGAAGAGACGCTTCTCTTTTTTAATTTTTTCTATTTCCGTCTGGAATCATGATTTAGCCGTTGGCGCGGTAAAAGCATCCAATCTATTCCGACCAATCGAATTGAAACTTATAGAGAATAGGCTAATTAGCAGGAAGAGGCGAATAGCGTCATTCAAAATGTTTATTAATCGAGATCCAAGTACTCTGAGGGTTCCTATGAATCTTGTTTAACCAATGAGCCTGGAAAACACGGATTGCACATAACAGTTTCCTTGTCTATGCCGAGTCATTCATAGAACAACTGAAAATCCACAGCCACACAAAATTTCAGCTACAAAACTTTGTTTTTGACTAAATGCCGTAAAAAAGACTATTTTGTCCTTGATTATGGTGAATATCTCGACGCTCAATGTCATCATCGGCTCGGTTTCCGACAACGCTAAATTCTGAGACCTTCCTAAAACTGAATGTGCTGATCTGATTTCATCCTGCAGTATTGGATTTCCAGAAGCCTTTTCCAGAGATGTCGCATTTGGAAGAAGTCTCTAAATAAAAGTTGGTATGCGGCCAAGCCAGGGACTCAATTTTGACTCTAGCGGAAAGCGGTAAGTACAAAAACGCGGGGTGTCCCTTCTGTTGATTATCATAAAACAGGTACCTACTCTACAAGGCTCATGATATTCGAACAATCTGCATATAAGCTTCCCACTGAACGATTTTTTTTAAATGCTTTTTTTGATCCTTTGAAGGCTGTAATGAGTCCGTCCAGGTCAGAATTGCATTTGGTGATACAATACTCTGTGCAATAGTGGTAGAGCTCTCATAGAATGATCCAATTAGAATTGAAAAAGACGAGAAAAATTGAAAAATCAAGGTTTTATTTTATATCATATATGTTGGCGAATTGTACCCCGCTGTGCAAAAATCAGCCGAACGCAAAAACTTATTTTCTTGTCAAAATCACAAAATAGTTCTCCGTTTTTTATTCTCGGTGGGATTGAAAAGTAGACCTAGGCTAAAGGTTCCAGCAAGTTATGCATATACGGAAACTTTTTGCCGTAGATAGATTTCGAGAATCTATTTTGAGCACACTAATTCTCATGTTCAAAATCTTTCCTTGTCGATCAGATGGACTTGAAAAGAAATTCGTATTTTTCAACGCTGAGTATTTTCAATCGATCGAATATTCATTCCTTTCTATTTCACCAGTTTGCCACTTCATTTCATTGCGATATCACTGATATCAGATACAAGCAATGTTCTATGGACTACACCAAGAAACCAAAACCTTGAGTCTTTTGAGAGCTCAACTTACCGAACGAAATATAATCTTCATGAACATTCGATCTGACTAGATCAACAATTTTACTATTAGAATTCGTACTTAAAAACCTTGATATGCTTAGGCTCCTTCAGACGGTGGGCTCAGTGCATATTTTCAGTTATAATACTACGCTGAGCGCTAAAGTTTGAGATGCATGAATGTAATGTGAACAACTCGAACACGCAAACAGCTAGCGAGTAGTGACATTCGAGATTCAAATGGGACGCATAGGAGATGTTCATGAAAGTAAGACTGAATACGTCAATCAACTAGTCAGCCATTGTTGGACATTTGAGAACTACATGGAAAACAATTTCGTAGTATGCTTTTTATTCTCGGATTCATGTTCGACTCAAAGAAATCTGCTTTTTCTAACCAGAAAAGGTCAAACTCTCTAGCAGTTTTCACTCTGGATATATTAAGATCACTTCTAGTGTCGATCTTAATTTTCGTGATGATATTATCGTGTTCCGAAATTTCTTTCACTGCTATCTAAATGACTCAAGTTGGGCCTTTGGCGTAGTCCATTGAACTTTGTTTTATCAAATACATATTATTTCGCTGTAAAATTAAGTGGAAATCTGGTGAAATAGGTAGGAATGAATGCTCTATCGAATGAGAATACTGCGAGTTCAATAATGCGTATTGAAAGTCGATCATTTGTCAGCACTGTACAGACTAGTTTTGGCCAGTGCATTACTTACACGTAGGCATCGATTGCAGAGATAAACGTAAGACCTGCTTGTCATCTTTTTTTAGTAAAAGATTTCTCTATGGGCATAGCATATAGAACGATTCAGCCTAGATTTAACTTTTTTTATTTCCCGCCGAAGATATCAAACGGGATAATATTTTACTGTTTTCGTATGTCGCCTTTGCCTTTCAACGACCTTTATTCTGATCTATTTAGCAATAAAAATGTACGAAGATCATGTTCGGAACAGTGGCGAACAAGTGTCTCATTCGAAGATGAAGGAGTTGCTGGCTGGCCTCGCGGCGGCAGAGGTCGACAAACTGTTTCAGAAAAATGGCCTCGACTTTCTCGATCGGGAAAAGGCAAAGAAGCGAGCTGTACACCAAGCTCACCATCTTGCTGAACAGAAGTACGGGCCTGGGAGTACGTTCAGCAATGGTGGTGGCGGTGATGACTATGGACAAGGTCAAGGACAATTTGGTGGTGGCGGCTTCGGGCAAGGCCAAGATCAATATGGCGGTGATGGCTACCGGCAAGGCCAAGGGCAATATGGCGGTGATGGCTAAGGGCAAGGCCAAGGGCAATATGGTGGTGGTGGCTTCGGGCAAGGTCAAGGTCAATTTGGCGATGATGGCTATGATCAGCAGAATTTTGGCGGCGGTGGTTTTGGCCAGGGAGGTGATAATGAAGGTCGCCGCGGGGAGCATCACCATGGGCATCATCATCATCGGGAAGAAGATAATTAACAATCACTTTTTTAACAGCATTTTTCAATTTCTAATATACAAAAAGAGAAGCAAATGCTTGATCAATTTTAAGCTGGGGATAAGAATGAGGACGGAACAAAGCATGGAGTACGCTGATAAAAAAATTCGGGCAATGAACCTTTTTAGCATTTATTAGTCAAAGGGTTTATAAAACTATGGGCTAATGCAAACTCAATGGGTATATGATGGGTACCAGAGGTGTCCACAGAGCAGGGCACAGGGCGAATTTTTAAAAAATTGATCCGCCCTGTACAGGGCAGGGCAGAGCTATACCTTCACGCCCTGGAAATTTTGCATATACTTACTTTAGTTCGAAAATAACAGCACTTTTATTCTTCTCGGGAACATGAAAGAAACTAAAACTATCCAGATATCGCTATAGAATGGTAAATAGCTTGTTATATTTGTGTTTGTATGATGACCGTATAAGGTCCAATCAAGTTTGTAAGAAAACAAAAGAAAATAATAAATTAATCATAACAGTGATAATAGTGCACATATATTTTAAATATAATTGTAATAAATGCTGATGTTCTTATTATTTCAATAAAACTATGCATCGCTATCATCGTCGATAGATTCATGTGCTGATATTTCATCTATCTTTCCTGGTGATGAAAATGAAGTTTCTATTCTCTCTTCGTTAAATATATCTCGGCTTGTCCAAACGTAATGCTGTGATATTTTGACAAATTGTTTTGCAATTATCTCGAAAGATATAAGAGCTAATAAGGTCGTTCCGACGTCATTCGACGTAGCTTATCATAATTTATTAATGTTGAAAGAATGGCCTAGTTCGACTGAATTCTCACGCTTCTAAAAGGGTTTTATCATCGCGTAACACTGACAAAAAAGAGGACCTTTTTTCTAGGTCTGCTTATAAAGCTCTAATTTTCTGCCAAATCATTTTTTCAAATGAAATGTTGATGGTACCGTTTTTGTAGAGAATTGAATGGGCTTTCAAGTAGTAAAAAGTATTTTTTCTAAACTATTTTCGCTCAGATTAAAAATGCAAAAACCAAACATAACGCTGTGGCGCGTTTTATGGTCGACCGAATTTGAAGCACTTAACATGCTTAAAAATATTCAATGTTTATATGTTGATCACTGCCCTGCATATCCTTCTGTAAAAAAAATGTAGTTGCTACATCGAAATACGAGCTCAATAATTGTATAGTAAGTTAGAAACTGTACAAGCGCTCAGAAGTTGTCCTGAAGAATGTGAGTAAACAATTAACAGGGCACTTTGTAAAGAATCAAATTCTGCATCGAATGGTATATTTATTAGAGATCCNGAGATCCCTGTGCCTTCTGGGTGTTAATAACGGATGAGTACCATAATGATGGAACTAGCTTTATCATTGAAGAAAAAGGAGTATATATAGGAGGAATATGTGCCAGGGAATGAGTATACAAACGTCGATGAGTCAAGGAATAAACACATGACTGTACCAATATTACTCTGCATTTTCGTTTTAAATTTCTTGGTTACAAAATTGAAAATACAATTTATGAAAACTTAATTTTCGATGCCAAAACCCAATTTTTTTTAAGAAAAAAAGTCCAAACTCACAACCAGTGTAAAAAAAACTGTACCAGAAAATACGCTGAGATCTGTTTATATCGAAACAAAACATTTTTAAAACTGGATCAACGAAGTAGCGAGTTACGTGGACAAGTCGATCTACTGATGGATCATCAGTGATGATTCATCAGTGATGATGTAATATCATCATATACACTTTTTCAATTAGCGCGAATTTATTATTTGGTGATCATTTATCTATTTGCTGAACTATTTTTCAAATAAAAAAGATTACTTAAACTTGAATTTAAATATGAAAAAAATTCTTCTTAATTAGCAGGGCAAGGCCGGACAGGGCAGGGCAATAAAACTGGCCCTGTGGACACCTCTAGTAGAAACTTTTTATGTTCTTCGTTCAATTGAAGATATAAATCTTGAATAAAAAAACCAAATAGAACGATGATTTTTATATCGTGATAACGTAGGGCACGATTCAGCAGACGATAAAAAAATGTTTCACATGTATACCACCAAACTGCTTTAACTGGTGTAGTCCCGCTCGAATTCTCGTACAAATTTCGATTGTAATTCGTTACCGTTGTAATACCCTGTGAGAAAGGTTATAAGTCTTTGTCGGCAATTCAGAGGAAAAGGAAAATGCACCAAACTATTGGAAAATCTTGTACGCCATGCTAAAATTTCGTCTGTAGTGTTTTCGGATTTTATCGGACTGTTTAAGACACCGTCTCTTTCAGATTTCAAATAATTTTCAACATCTTACTTGAGATCACTTAATAGTTGATCAATTATCGTATGAACTTTTCCGATCTTTGCGTATTCAAAGCATAAACGAAATAGTTATATTATCAGAATAAAACTTACAAGTCCTTTACCTATTGGTAATTTGATGCCCATTGTTGATGATATTCTTTGTCATGACAATAAACATAGATTATCAATATATTTCCAAGACGGTCAACATTCGGTATCAGCGTCTCTCCCAATTGACCAGCTATGACTAAAAATGTATTACTATGATCTTTCGAATTTTCAAGATACTGCTGACATTCTTCAGCATTATCAAAGAATTTTGTATAATCAACAATTTTCCGTAGACTTTCGATAGTGACCACGTTTTCACTGTTCTGCTTGTTTATGGTAGCGTCCAACCACACACACCAATTGATGCGATTCAAGGTTCACTTGTCCATGATCGATAGCAGTTATACTGGTGATTGTTGAGCCGAAACGAGTCTCATCGATTGAGATTGGCGGTGAATTCTGCTGAATATCGATAGCAGAAGCAACACTACTCTGATTCACAACAACTGATGCTGTGGCATATTTACTAGAATTACAACCCATTTAAAGCAAAATAAGATCTAAATAGAAAGTATCAAAATATCTAGTTAGAAAAGAAGACTGATGATGAGTAAGTCAACAGATAAGTTGGCCAATCTTATTCATCTTCACTCTCAAGATTCGCGAAAATCAGGTTCTGTTTGCAAGCGGTCACCGGAAAAAATAGATCAAGGAAATATACAAACTATTCAATACATATATAGTTCAGTTTTGCAGATCCGAATTCTTTTTAGTATGGGGTGTGTGGGTGTGATAAAAAAGCAAACACACACACTTACACACCCACACCCACACCCACGCCCTAGGCGAAGATCTTGGAAAACGGTGCACAATCGTTACAAATCAATTCCAGCTCAAAATTATATTGCTAGATTTCGTAATTATATCGCCCATCAGGGCACAAAACGACAAAAGATAAACAATGTAGATGAATATGTCTATAAAAAGTTTTTGAATGCTCGTGAGAAGTTTCTTCCAGTTCACGATGTTGACCTTTGCCGTTGGGGTTTACAAGCTGCTAAAGAGTACAAAATAGATAATTTTCGCGCATCATCTTTTTGGCTTTTAGGTTTTAAAACACGTCATTCAATATGTTCACGTCGAATTACTAATATCGTGACACGTCATGAAGTTGAGAATGCTGAAGTTGTACAAAAGTCTGAAATACAGTTTTTGAAAGAATATAATTCTCTAAAATCGAAATATTTATCTCATGAAATTCTCAATACTGATCAAGTAGGAGTTGAAAAAGAGTTATATTCAACTCGTTGTTTATCTTTTCAAGCAGAGAAGAAGACATACATGTCGATAAAGTCCAAACATGCTACCACACATTGTTATACTCTGCAACCAACCATCTCTTTAGATGGAAAAGTTGTTGGTCCTATTCTACTTTGTTTACAGGAAACTCAAGGAAAAATGGATGAACAAGTCAAACATTGATTGTTTGAGCCGAAGAATGTTGTTCTTACTTGTTCATCTAGTGGAAAGCTTACAACTTCCTTGGTTTCATATTGGCTGAATCAAGGACGAGGGACGTTTTGGGGTAATTTCGGCCCAATTCGAAAGAGACATCGGTTCAGTCTGAAAGTTTCCAAAACTGCGGAGCGCGTTGTTCTATATCATTTCTACAAGTTT